ATATAAATGCTATACCTAATAACATGGAAAAATATATGGCTTTTATGTTAGGAAACCATTTAACATTTCTTGATAGTTTTCAATTTATGAGCTCTAGTTTAGAAAAGCTTGTTAGTAATTTACCTAAAGAATCATTTAAATATACCTCTAATCAGTTTAAAGGCGAAAAACTTAATTTAATGACTAAAAAAGGTATATACCCATATGATTATATGGATAGTTTTGAAAAGTTTAATGAGGGGTTGCCTTCAAAAAAAGACTTTTATAGTATTCTTACTGATGAAAATATATCAGATGATTCTTATAGTCATGCTCAAAATGTTTGGAATATATTCAATCTCAAAAAAATGGGTGAATATCACGACTTGTATCTGAAATCTGATGTTTTGTTATTAGCTGATGTATTCGAAAACTTTCGAAAAACATGTCTTGAATACTATAACTTAGATCCATGTCATTATTTTACATCACCCGGGTTGTCTTGGGATGCTATGCTTAAAATGACAGATATTAAATTAGAACTAATGACTGATATTGACATGTTTCAATTCATTGAAAAGGGTATAAGAGGAGGTGTTTCTTATATTTCTAATCGATATGGTAAGGCTAATAACAAGTATATGAAAACATTTGATAAGAATAAACCATCAAAATATATAATGTATTTGACGCTAACAATTTATATGGATGGGCTATGTCACAATACCTACCTACTGGTGGTTTCAAATGGTTAACTGAGAAACAGATTAACAACATAAACCTTGCTAAATATCAAGCAGATAGTAAAAAGGTTTAATTTTAGAAGTTGATTTAGAATACCCTGAAGAACTACATGATTTACATAACGATTATCCTGTTGCACCAGAAAAGTTAAAGTAACTAGCAACATGCTGTCAAAATATTGTAAGACAATTGCTTCTAATTACAATATATCAACAGGTTTAGTTTCAAAATTAATTCCTACATTACAAAATAAATACAAATACGTTTTACATTATAGAAATCTTCAACTATATTTAGATCTTGGGTTAAAGTTAAAAAAAGTACATAGAGTACTTGAATTTAATCAATCTCCATGGTTGAAAAAATACATAGACTTTAATACTAAAAAACGAACTGTAGCAAAAAATTCTTTTGAAAAAGACTTTTTTAAACTTATGAATAATTCGGTATTTGGTAAGACGATGGAAAACTTACGAAAAGAGTAGATGTTAGACTAGTAACTAATAAAAATAAATTATTAAAATTGGCTTCAAAACCTACTTATGTAAGTTCAAAATCTTTGAGAACCTTGTGGCTGTGCATAAGATCAAAGAAACACTAACCCTTAACAGACCTGCATATGTGGGTATGTGTATCTTAGATTTAGTAAAACGTTGATGTATGATTTTCATTACAACTATATCAAGAAGCGGTATGGTGATAAAGCTAAACTTATTTTCACAGACACAGATAGTCTAACATATGAAATCGAAACTGAAGATGTCTATAAAGATTTTGGGTTGATAAAGATAAATTTGATTTTAGTGATTACCCAGAATACCATAAATATCATGATAAAACTAATAAAAAGTTATTGGTAAAATGAAAGATGAAGCTGCTGGAATAGTATTAAAGAATTTGTTGGTTTAAGATCTAAAATGTATAGTTATATTAAAGATAATAATAAAGGAGATAAAAAGCTAAAGGAATTAAGAAAAATATTATTAAGAGTGAAATAAAACATGAAGACTATAAAACAACACTATTTGAAAACAAACAAATGCATCATACAATGAAAACTATTAGAAGTGTAAACCATCAACTTAGTAGCTATGAAATTAATAAAGTATCACTTAGCTGTTTTGATGATAAACGGTATATATTAGATGATGGTATAACTACTAGAGCTTATGGTCATTATTTAAATGATAATTAAAACTTATTTTAATATACAGTTATAATGTGTAGTAAGCATGTAGCGTGGGCCTCTGTTAGAGTAAAATCATACATACCTGTTCCTCATGTTTGACTACATATCACATAACTGTTTGTAATAAGTAATTAATACAAAAGCGATATACAAAAGAATTCAAAATCCTGAAACAATTATTAAAAACACTTTTAACAAAAATTATATAAAACATATAGATTCCATATTTTGTAAAGAGCATCTATGACATTGTTGCGCTCAAAATTTCAGGCTTAGTTGCCTGAAATTCTTCGCCCCTAACAACGATTTAAAAAGATGCTTTATTAACATTTATTTGTAAAGACTGTTTGTAAAATTTAAACGCACCTATATATTTCAAAAACATATAGATTCCATATTTTGTAAAACATTGTATTATTATACATGCGCTGATGAAATGTGCTGATTACATTAAACAACCATTGTTAAAAACATGCACTAAGACACGCGCGCCGCTAAAAAACCAGCTAGCGCTGATACTGATATTTTAATAACACTTGATTATTAACACTTGATTCTACCCACTGTGGCGATTTAGCTTCGCTAAATCAACATGCGCCTGGCAGGGCCTTGTTAACAATTAATTCTTAAAGACGTTTTTTTAAAGAGCATTTTTTAAGCCTCTGTTATTCTCGAATATTCTTCGAATACTCTTCGAATCTATGGGGGAACCCCGAATTTTTCACTTCGTGAAAAATTTTCCCCACCAGGGTTCCAGAATTCTCGAGAGCTCCATTCCCCTGCTCAATTTTAGCTACGCTAAAATTTGCGCTGCCGAGCTCTCTCCGAAACGATGCTTGTTAACATTTGTTTGTAAAGACCGTTTGTAAAATTTAAACACACTTATATATTTCAAAAACATATAGATTCCATAGTTTTATAAAGATGTTTTATTAACACTTGATTTTTGAAGAGCATTTTTTAAGCCTCTGTTATTCTCGAATATTCTTCGAATATTCTTCGAATATATGGGGGGCGAGCCCGAAAATTCTAGCTAAAGCTAGAATTTTTTACCCACCTGGGCTCGCAAGAATTCTCGAGGACCCCATCCCCCTGCTCAATTTTAGCTACGCTAAAATTTGCGCTGCCGGGTCCTCTCCGAAACGATGCTTTATTAATATTTATTTCTAAAGATAGTTTTTAAAACATATAGATTCCATATTTTTAAACGACAGATTGTAACCTTGAGATTTTTACCCCTTTGAAACAATGACTTTTTTTCACGCAGCTTTTTTACATGACCTTTTGCTGAGGGACGCCTTTTGAACCATGGTCTTATTTTATGCTGTTATAAAGAAAGTTTTTACCCAAGGTTAAAAGTAGTATAGTACATGGGGTGTATGAGATAAAAAAAAGTAAACTTTTTTTGATCTCCTACCCCCATGTACTATTACTACTCACCCGATCCGAACGTTGCTAACTTCAACGGAATTGTTGGAATTTTTAAGGGTTGACTGAGAGCTTAATGTGACGTTTGACATGCAATTCTGTGCTTCCACCAACTTTCAAGTGAAAAATGTGTTTAAAAAGACAAATATAAGTGCTGTGAGCTAACTCCACTGCCAAACATACTTATGTAAAAGATCGTATTTTAAGTATTAAGGTATGTTTCTATGACAGGCTCACAGTATCAAACCAGACTCAACATCGCAACCTTCACGTGATTTTGTCATTAAAAACTATTGGAATTGTTTAAAGTTGGTTGGTAGGCCGAGAGATTAGGGGTTTGGGTCGAGTTCATTCTCCTTACAAACAAGTATTTCGACAACTACGAATAATCCTCGAGCATTTTGTAAAATAACTTTATTGGATCACAACGTTTCGGATTGGCTGAAAGATCAAGCAAATGACGTTTTATTGGAAGATAATTGACAACGCAGAATGAAATTCGGCGTTTCAAATAATCCCAATTTTTCGGGTTTTGTCGCCAAAGGCAAGTGAATCGTTTTGGCGACCATGACGACAATGAGAAATCCAACCTGCAATTTTCAGTCGTGCTATGTAGATTTTAGAACATTATTTACTCTTTTTACAAAGAGTACATAAAAATCTACATAACATGACCTAGTAAGCATGCTGGCTACGTCATAGCTTGGGAAATTTGACCTACCTGTGTACGCAGGAACGTTAAAACATGCAAACAAAATAACAACGCCGATACAGAGAAGTGTAAAATTCACCAAGTCCCACAACCACGAAGCAGTCCAGTAGCTAATGGGATCAACACCGCTAACGAACTGCACATGTTTTGCACCGTTCGTTCGCTCCTCGACGACAAACACGACAAAATATGAAGCAAGAGACGCCATGCCAAACAGCACAAAAGCAGCTATATTAAGACCACCAGTGTTGCTGGAAGGAAAATGAAAGTTAATGAATTAGACCTTGTTGCCTTAGAAACTGTTGATCGTTGGCAGATCACTTTAAAGAAAGTGGAGCAGGGAGACTAGGGGCTATTGCATCCTACTACTGATTAGACCTTTTTGCCTTAGCAACTATTGATCATTTGCAGATCACTTCAGAGAAAGCGGAACAGGGGAACTGGGGCTGTTGCCCCCGCCCAAATCCCTTCTTTCACAGTTTCACCTAACTTTGGCAGTCGATAACCCCACCTCCTAATGGAAAATATGCTCAGCAATCCCTGCCTTTTAAGTGAACACAGTCGTATGTCAGGAATAAATCAGTCTCTCATACATATAAAAATATGCCTGGATTACAAATTTTCAAACTTATATATATATATACATACACCGTACATCCTGTGTCCCAAGTTAAGAAGTCACCATTGCACTATGGTGATAGCCGGGAGGGCACATTGTTATACAAGCTGTATACATTATAAGAATAGTGCAATGGTGACTCCTGCACTTGGGACACAGAATGTACGGTTAATATAAATCAATTCATAACACATACATATAAATTTCAATAGAAATTTGAGAGACTAGAAAACAATACCTAATTACATAAAAACACGGGCGCTGATTGGTTAAACGCTCAAAAAACCGTTGTTTTTTATTTCAGATTGCGTGGTTTTCGATAGAAAGTGAACAGTGAATAATGTTTTATTAAAACGCTATTCATTAAGAAAATACAAAATATATTTACTTGTCCCTATATAGTTATAGGAACGCTTGTTGTGAAAGTTTGGGAAAAGCTGGAAAGCAAAAAATAACATACTCATCAAAATCATTTGATTTTTGCTCCGTAGTTCTCGGCAAAGGATGATTTGTCACTGTGATTAATTTGTTTTTATTCCCAGAACTGTTTTTCAAAATGGCGTTGTCCACTGCACTCAGTGCCACCGCTATCGCATGATAAGCTTGATCGTTGAACCAAGCCTTGGCTATTGCTAAATAAGAACACGCATAAATTACCTTAAATTCGCCAAGATTCTTAGTTGATCTACCTCATATTTATCTTTTCTATTGATCTACAGCACGTTTCTTCATCTACAGATCCTTTCTTGATCTACAGATCCTTCCTTCATCTACAGATCCCTCCTTCATCTACAGATCCTTCCTTCATCTACAGATCCTTTCTTGATCTACAGATCCTTCCTTGATCTACACATCCTTCCTTCATCTACAGATCCTTCCTTCATCTACAGATCCTTCCTTCATCTGCAGATCCTTACTTGATCTACAGATCCTTCCTTCATCTACAGATCCTTCCTTCATCTACAGATCCTTCCTTCATATACAGATCCTTTCTTGATCTACAGATCCTTCCTTCATCTGCAGATCCTTCCTTCATCTACAGATCCTTCTTTGATTAAAAAATCCTTCTTGATCTACAGATTTTTCGTTCATCTACAGATAAATCTTTGCTTGATCTACAGATCCTTCTTTGATCTAGAAATTCTTCCTCGATTTACATAAACTTCCTTGATACTTTCTTTATCTACAGACCTTTCCTCGATCGACAAGTCTTTCTTGATCCCCTTACAACATTTTGAACTCATTAAAAAAGCATAAATTGACAGATATTGATTAGAACTATTCCCCCATCATAGTTACACACCTTCAGAGATGGTGAAAACAATGTAGCTACACGAGCAAGCAATACCTTTCTTATTTTCTTCAGTAAATGTCGCTGCAACCAGATAACGTCTGTTGAAGTATCCAATGTTTCTTCCTTTGGCTTTTTCTAGCAAATATTTTGTCATGTTCCCATCACGGAAAGCACTATCCTTGTCGATATCAACGAACTTAGTGTACGAGCTTGCCGAGTGTGTGTACATTTTAACCAGATCATTTATCTCCCTGAAAAAGATTTATTTACGCTTACATCAAATTTTAATGTCTTATCTGGATTTTAAATCCAGGCGCGCATTATTCAGCTTGTTTTACTGCGAGAAGTTTAGTTTACTGCCCAGAAAACGAAAACGGTTTTGTTCTTGTAACAAAGATATGAAACAAAAGCACGTATCTGATTATATTTACTCATCCTAAAGAGGGTTTAGCACAGTGATGGGGCATTGAAATTAAAATAATAGATTAATTTCTAAGTCTCCTTTTTTCAAAACCCTGTGATTAACCATGTTAAGTAGTTTACCATAAGAAAAATCGAACATTTTTTTCTTAAAATCTAAACAATTTAACCAAATAAAATTGAACGGCTCTGCTTTGAAAATTCGAACAGTTCCAAGAATTTGAATCGAACAAGTCACAAACATTTTTTACCTGAATTAAGTAGGAAATAATATGTAAAACTTTAGCAGTTTCCAAAGCAAAATGAGTTGTAATTTTTTAGACTTCAAATGAGATTTGCTGTTTTATAAGGCGAGTTTTGGAAATTTGTTTCTCGAAACCATTTCATAGTATTTGTCAACGAAAAATGTCTATTATCCATCCATTTGACTAAATATACAACTGGAAAGCTACTTTTTATACATTAACATGCCTGTTTCTCAGGGCCGTGCATGGAAAGATGGGGACTAGTTTAATTACTGGCTTCAAATTTTGGTGTGAAGTAGCCGTCCAGTTATATTTAAGTTCAATATATCAACCTGTTGGGGTTTCCAACAATTGAGTAAGATGCAATGTTATCATGAAACATAGCTGTCGTCAAAATTCTGGGAGGAGAGTCCTCCGGCTTAGGATTCTTGTCAGCGACAATCAGAGCGAGCATTGTGAAAATAAGAGGCACAAGAAGCTGACGAATTATGGCTATCTTATCTCGACGCGAATGAAGAAAGCGTTTCTTGAACATAGCACACCACCTCTGCAGAAACAAGGTTATTCCGTAGTTTAACTGTGGCTTTGTTGTGTTTGTTATTGGCATCATGCTGTTGTTGCGTCCATATAATGTGTCTTCATCATTCACTGTACTTACTGAACCGTTTATTGCATCCGCTAGATGACGTAAAAAAGAAAAAGTTTGACTTGAAACACCATGAACAAAAAAAAACAACTATTCAGTGTTGGTCAAATCAAAACCACAAATCAGCATTTTCTAGAAATGAGTCAATGCTAAAAAATAAACAATTACCACTTTCACCACAGCTTACTATCGAGTGTATCATCTAAAACCTTGTCGCAACCCTTTACTTTCATTAATATCGCAATCAATCAACAATTACCACTTTTACCACAGCTTAAAGTTTGTTAATTGCTGCTGATACAGGCCAGGTATGGTTAGCGCTAGGATTTGGATTTGGATTAGGGATTGGGTGTATATAGGGGTGTATTAATAGCTGTAGATATGGGCCAGGTATGGTTGGAGTAAGTGTTAGGCTTAGAGTTAGGATATAAGGTATAAAGTAATTTAGTACACTTTACCTTACTTATGAAATTTTTTAGACCTATTTTCATCAGATTTGACTTCCTCCCCTAACGCATACTTACATATTACTTACCTTGGTATAGAAATAAATCTTAGTTGGACTAAAAAACAACTTTGACCATGACGAATGGCATCTATGCTGTGTGTTGTAGCAATAGTTGTTAGTTGAGTAATGTATTCTTGCAGTAAATCTCATAGACCAAATTTCCACTATTTATTTTATTTTAATAGAATTCTTCTGCTGTAGTTTTTTACTAGAAATAAATATAAACTGTATGGCGGAACTGTCCTGAGAATTAAAAGCAATGATCTTTAATTTTGTGAATTGTCTTGAAAACCTATGCTCATATTTTATTTTCCTTGTAAACTCAAACAATACTCAACATTGCTCAATTGATGATTGTATATGCCTTATCTGTAATAGTAGTTTGTTCCTACAGATTCAATAAAACATAAAAAATGATTAAATATGATAATTCAAAGTGGAAGTGGTATATGGAAAACACAATTTACAAGTACTTCTTGCAAACATTACAAACACTTACTGAAATTTTGTGATGGTGATAGACAAAAGTTGATCAAACAAACAAACAACAAACAAACAACATTTGTATTCCGGCCAGTATTAATCCCCGCCAGGGGGGTTGACCGGTCCATGAACTTTTCTACGCCAAACGTCTCTATCTCGCGCCATACCTTTTCTTTTCGATAAAAAAAAGTTGATCAGAAACTTAGAAAACACAACATAAGAAAAAGAACAAGAAAAAAACCAGCCTGTTTGATAAAGTTCATTTATATATAAGATACAACAATATTTCAAAATGTCTTCCTCTGTAAAATGTCAATAAAATTCTTGTCTTTATAAAATAAACTTTAGCATAACAAAATAGAACAAGTTTTAAGTTTATGGAGCAATAACATTTAATGTAATGTGCTTAATATTTCTAAACAATGTCAAAAGCCCAAGTATGTGGCTGTGTTCGTCAACTCCAGGATGTTGATATGACTCCATTTCACTGTGCTCGTCAACTCCAGGATGTTGATATGAAGACATGCAAGGAGGTTCATTAGTAAACGCAGATCTTAGAAACTCATAATCACTTGAGTCATCCTATTACATATGAAAATAAAAAATTATCATGATTCTTCCTTTCCAACGAAAAAATGTTGAAAAAAGGACAAACAATAAAAAATGATGTTTAATGACTAATTCGTAAATTTATTTCTAGCAGAATGTATTTGAAAAAATGAAAAGGCAGACAAGACAAGCATACCTGCACAATACACAGGTCCTCTTGATCATTCAAATGTTCAGGTTTGTTGATTTTGTTGCTTAATGGTTCCAATATCTGTACTGATGGCCTGACATAAATTGGTTTATCTTTGAACACTTTGTGCACCATGAAGCCATTTAAGGTTTAGTCACAGAATAGAATAGTCCAATACATATGTACTTACAGAAGATAATAGTCTAGTGAAATGCCTAATAAACATTTATGGCATTAAGCTGTCCTTAACTGCAAATTTTTACTCTGATAATTTTTGCTTAATCTTTGGCAGAAAAAAATTTTGAGTTTTTTCTCAAAAAGTGAATTTGCTGGCACTGATGTGTAGATGGGTAAAGGGTTACAATAAACTTGCATGGTTTGAAGTCTGAGCTTTTCTATGTCTATGAACTGTCACTTGTAGTACCAAATTTCTAACTTAACTCATTACATAGAGGTTTTAATGGGGGTCTCTAGGGGGGTATATGCCTGACAACTTGGTAGAAATTTTTAAACACTATATCTGTTTTTGAATAGCATTATTGTAAAATAAATTTTACGTTCCTAGACATGCCAATGAGCCATATATTTGGCATGATAATGAGCCTAAATATTTGGCAAAACATTCAAGTATTGTTCACTTCATTTTTTTTTTGAAAAACACGTAAGCAAAATGTGTTGTTTTTACGCAAAAAAGATGCCCACAAAATACATTTTGTATTGCTCTAAAACGCTGAAAATGGCATTTCCAAGGCTCTGAAATTCAAAATTTCTCAGGGAAGAATGCCACAGACCCCCCCCAGGTGCGGAGCGCCTCCGACGTTTTATGACTGATGTTTGAAAAATCCTAGATCCGCCCCTGATACTCGTGACCTTGCTTCCTCGCCAACCTGCTTAGATTCACCTTTACAAGTCTTATTTTTACGTGTCTCAACTTCATTCAAACATTCTTTACTTATTTCCAAAGGATGCAGCTTTTGCAGTGGCCTGTTTAAAACCCTTGATCGTCTCTTCTCAAACATTCTGTTGCACCCCGAACTACCCCATCCTTACCCTTAACCAACCTCTCAATAACAGCTAACTTCCAAAACCCACGCTTTAATCCTTCATCATAAACTAACACAACGTCTCCAACCTTTGCAATTGAACCTTTCACCTTAACCTTTCCATTGTGAAACTCTCTTAAATCCGTTAAATATTCTCTTGTCCATCGATTCCAAAAATGATTTCTCAAATTAATCATAAATCTATAAGGTTTACGAAGGCTCTTAGCCTCATCTATATCTTTGTCCATTGTACATATTACATCGTCAGATAAAGAATCCAATCAATACCCAAATATCAAGTGTGAGGGTGTCAATATTTCTCCGTCGGTCTCGTCGTAGTCATAAGTCAACGGTCGTGAGTTAGCAATTCCTTCAATTTCAATCAAATTTGTGAGAAGTTCGTCGTAAGTCAATTTTGCTTGTCCTAAAACTTTCCTCAACGCTCGCTTTACTGTCCCTACCATTCGCTCAAAAAACCCACCCCACCAAGTGGATTTTTCAAGATTAAAGTTCCATTCTACGTGGCTTTGTGCTAAGTACCCACGCACTTCTTCATTGAGATTTGGACACAGGAGATAACAATACTTGGGATTTGAGAACTGGGGATTTGTATACTTGGGATGTAGTATTTGGGAACAGGGGATTTGGGTATTAAAAATTTGGGTACTTGGGATAAAGGATGGTCAGTGAACTATGGTCAAGTTAGATGTATAAAAATCTTATGTAAGATGCAGTTTAATGTATACATGTAAACCTGCCGATAGCATCACCATCCAGTTTCACTGATCCCGTGAAAACTCTAAACGTAATAAAACACAATGAAGAAGTTGAGATGAAGATATTCTGCTGAGAGAACATAACGTATGGACAGTGTACGAGTTCTTCAAGATTATATTTTCATGTTTATGTTCAAGGTTCTCTGGTTCACTTAAGCTTAAAGATGACTACAGCTAAGGATGTCAAAACGTCAGTCAACAATAACAATAATCCCTTCTCAGGACTCTGCTAACATGGACAATGAACTTGTCTACATAGAGAATCATCCATCAACGTTTCTTGCTGTTACAAGCCCCACTCTAGCTTTAAGACAATTTTAAAGATTCCTGTGACGGGGGGCAGGGGTGAAGCCCGCTGAATGGGAGGGGTGAATATTCATCTATTTAGTTT